CTGTGACCCTCTTAATCCAGTTTTGGGATCTTCCCTTTTGATGTTTGAAAGGTAGCATTCCACATAATATATGGATTATCAGTGAAACTAGTTCATTGAACAATTAAAAACCATTTAATATTTTTTGACCCCAAATACCAATAGCACATCAGGTCCCTTTCTCTATATACAGACTCACATACTTATGTCTTCTCTTAACTTGGCTCTTTGTGTCTCATGGGACTGTACAAGTATCTCCTTAATTCTATCTTTTCCTGTCAAGGGATGGTAGTCTCATTCATCATGCTTCCTATCTTCCTACCTAACACTTTTTGTCTTTAACTGAGCTCCATGAGGATGGAGATTGTGTCTAATTCACTGCTGTACGTGCCAGCACCTACCAAAATACTTGGCACATAGAATTTGTTAAATAAATATTTGTTGAAGGTTTGAATAAGATGCAAAGTTTGGGTTTCCTTTGGCTTTTTCATACTCTGGAAAAATAGTCATGACTTTACCTTATTTTTCTTTTGTTGAGATAAAGGACATAAAGTAGTACCAGAGCAGAAAGAAATACCATAGATACCAAATTTTGCAGGACAAAAAAACTATTGAAGAGCATGGCTGCTCATTCCAAAGCAAGTCGTTCAACAAGGAGAACACTTCCTCAATTGTAGATGTTGACTTGACTTCTTTGCCTGCTTATTGATGTAGGAAAAGGCCTGGTATTGATTATTTTTAAAAATATGAGAATGAATATTTTTTCCATTTGTTACTTAATATTCATTAAGCTAATGGCTAATGTCAAAATAGATACATTGTGCTAATAGTAAGGAAATTCAAAGAGAGAAAACCTTATATCTTATATTAGCCTTCCTTGGCTTCTCAGATTTAGCCTGGGTGGAGAGGACAAGCTAAGCTGAATAGCCTGTGTTTATTTAAATCCTTATCCATATGCCCTCTGACTCCTCAAATGACTGAGTGGGTGGAAGCACGCACATGCATTGTGCCAGTGTGTGCATAAATGCTGTCACATGTAAGGCAAGAGGCTGGGTAACACAGAGAAAATAAGTCACAAGTTGTCAGGACTCTAAATTGAAGTTTTGTTTTTATCAGAGCCCTAGAAAACCCAAGCCATGTGAAATCATGGCCCTTACCCATGACCTCTCCCACATACTGAGGGGGGAATTCAGATGTCCATTGCAGTCAGCAGGTCAGATTGTTTCTTGCATGCTCCCTGCCTCCACTCAGGTCCACCCTGGGAGACCTCTTTGCCTTGACTGAGCATGAGTGAGATCCTTGAGTATATGATCATGTTTTCATCACCTTTGTATCCAACCCACCCTCAAACTTGAAACTCCCAGTGTTTAGCAAAAAGTTTAGTAGGTGCTCAAGAAATGTTTGTGCAGTGAATTAATGAACGAATATATGTTGCTCAGGACAAAGCTTAAGCTTCTACCTCCTGCAAGACTGCACTCAATATTGACCCTGAAGATAAGAAAAGCAATACAACTGATGCTGTGAGAAAATGTTTCTTGTTTACACTGCTGCATCTTGGTCTTTGGCTGATCTAAACACAAAGAGAGCTCTTTCAGTTCAGAGAAGGGAGGTTTATGATGTGTGGGAGAGCTAAGAACAATGGGCTCAATTGATAGACTGGAGATGCTCTCAGCTTCTGAGAGCCTGGAAACTCCATCTATAGATTGATCCCTGAGGGCAGAGCCAAATGAGGGCAGATGGAGAACACAGCTTTCTTGGGAACTGGCATTCAGTTCCTCTGAGGCAAAAATACATTCACTCTGTAGCCCCTGAATCAATTCTCAAAATATGGTGCAGTGTCCTTGTTTGCCAGTGTCTAAAAATAAATCCATGTCATATTTTTCTTCTTTTTGTCTTAAAAGTCATCTGGCCAGACTTGCTTGCAGAATATTAGTTGTGAGGAAGCAGAAATCAGATGGCTAAATTCAAAGTATTTTTGAATGGAGCTACTTAACTGATGTCTGAATGATGTGTCCCTCTACCACCCAGTTAGTCTCCTTTCTCTCTAATCAGGTTCCTTGCCAGCTGCAACTATGGGACAAGGAATTTACAGCTAATGTTAAGTCAGCTTTCTTTAGGCTGGCCATTAGAGTGTTGCCCAAGAATGGTAAATTCTAGCTTAGGGTTGTGACAGGGCTCTGATGCTATGTTCCAGGTGTACTAGTAGACTGGCCATCAAGGGTAGTAGGTGTCTATGTCTCTGATTGATTTTAATTCTGCCCCACCATAGCCTATTTAAATTTACATTCCCTCGTCTCTGCTCTGCCTCTACATTAAACCTCTCATTCAGTGTTTTCCAGATAAAACTAAATATGATTCATGTATGAACATGCAAACAATTCAAAGAAAAGGTAACAATAAACAATCCTAAACACACCAGGGACTGGGGCACCATTATCATACCGAGGAAGTAACCTTTTTTGACTCAGAATTAGCAGAACATCCTGAAACCCAACTTCTAAAGAGAAAACAAATCTTAAAACAGGCAATACAATGATATCCAAAGACCTGAGTTCTAGTCCAAGTCCAAGTTTGAACATGTATTTACTGGGTTTCTTTAGATAATTTACTTTACTTCTATTTCGTTGCATCATCAACTATACAATAGAAGTGATCTGTTTACTTTCTCTTTATTTCAGAATATTATTGAGAGAATAACTTCAATGATGGGAAAAATAAGGAAGCTCTTTGAGTAGGCAAAATAAAAGGTACAATTATTAGAGTTTCTATTGTGAGGTCAATGGAGCCCTGGTGGCACAGTGGTAATGTTCAGCTGCTAACTGAAAGGTCAGTCAGTGGTTTGAACCTACCAGTGGCTCTGCAGAAGAAAGGTGTGGCAATCTGCTTTGGTAAAGATCATAGCCTTGGAAACCCTATAGGGCAGTTCTACTCTGTCCTATGGAGTTGCTATGAGTCAGAATCAACTTGATGGCAACAGGTTTGGTTTTTATTTATTTATTTATTTATTTTTTGGTTATCATGGGGTCAAAGAGAACAATTCACTCAAAGGACACAATGTTTGAGAACATTCTTAATTTTATTTTCTTTAATCTTATAAAATACATTTTGTAAGATAAGTTTCTAAAAGTTTATATTTATGCGTGTTAAAATCGAAATTCTATATCAGAAATGAAGGAAATACTTTCAGTTGATTAACTCTCTTTGTGTGTGTATATGTGTGTATGTACGCATGTGAGGTTTTCAGGGAAGGGTTGGTTATTTGTTATGTTATTAAATCAAAACAAAACACAAGGCATGGATTACTTCACTTTCCTTGATCTTGATTGGTTTCTTACAGAATTTTTCCCTCTCCTCCCTCTATGCAGCCTGGAAGCTTATCTTGTATACTGGTCTGAAAAAAAATACCAAATGTCTTTTTGTAAAGATCTTACATCTCCTTAAACCTTGCTGAAACCACTTCAGGGGGGAAAAAAACTGTTACAACAGAAGACCCACAGTCATACCCTTAAAATCTTTCCTTAAATAAAGATAGTTGAATCAGACTCTTAAACCTAGAGTTAACAGAAACAGGAAGAGAAGACTGAAATCTGGGAGCCATTCAGGTTTCAAATTCTTTCTACCTGTCCTTTCTGTTACATGATCTATACCCAGAGAAAATAACCTTTATGTTAAACCTGACCCTTTAACACACAAAATAACATTACCAAATCAAATTATCTCCCACTAGCTGGAATGATCAAATAGGTTATTCAAATTGTGGTTCACCAAACCTGCAGAGGGCAGAATAATTTGTAGGAAATTCCAAAATATGCATAGAACTGACCAATTTTAAATATCCTTCGTGATGCTTAAACTCTAATTTTCATTTAAGAATCAGAATCAAAGAATCCTTCTCCAGACCTTTTTGGTACAACCCCAAACTTGTTACAAGTGACAAACAAATTGGGAAACATGAAATGTGCACCATTCTGAAACAAATCAAGATCAGCAAATCACTTACTGTGACAGAATTGACAATACCCCATGAAAAGAGCACCATTGTGAAGATATAACAGAGGCCAGAGTACACAACGAATTAACTGAAAAAAGTGACACGCTATCAAAGAGTTACCTATCCTTTGTCTACTAGAGGGCCCTCTTAGGTTACACTGTTAGCCACCAGCAACTGTTGCACCTTAGGCCAGTCTTTTTCATGTAAGCTGTTTTCCCTCTATTCTCAGCTCCTTGGAAACCATAAGGTTGTCATGGTAGCTGTTATAAAGGAAAAGGAGTATAAGAAGATACTGACAATACTCTCTTCCCTAACAAGGTATAGGGCCAGGTGCCCCCTTTGTCTACACAGATACTATGCTCTCTTACGCTATAAGTAGGGTTGGCTGAGTTAAGGTTTAAGTAGTCAATCACCATCGGGGTCAGTGCTCTCTTTCTGTGGGTGAAAGATCCTTGCTTTGACCCCCCTTCTCCCAGCTGCAATAGGCAGATTTGGGCAAATGCTCTTAGCGTTTTCCTGGCATTCTTTTTTCTTCTATCTTCAGTGGTAATAGGGAGACAGGAATGAGTTCTCTGTTTTATATACCAAGGAGAATACATTTGGCCCTTCTAGATGGCAAGCGGACCAACTAATTTCCTTCTCTCTACCTGAGCATCTTTCTTTCCACTTAGTTTTCCATCAGTGAAAGTGCCCTGTGAGAAGAAAGCACTTCCTGGTCCTCAGGAGATACTTGAAAATTCAATTACAGCCTCCATTTCTTCGTGACTTGCAGTTGGGGAGTCATCTTCTTAGGCATTTCCCATTTCCAGCAGGAACCAGCTGTGAAGCAAAATGACTAAAAGAGGTACATAAGAGGGGAGAGTCCACAGAGAGACGTTAATCACTGCAAGACTCTCCTTTCTTGTTACACTCGTCAAGTAAGAAGAGGGCCAGTCAGTGGCAAAGGCAAAGAGTTAAGATGGGAGACGCAGCATTGTAGGCTGTGTGGTTAGAGCCTCGCTGTTAGAGAAAGGGAAGTTTCTACAGGACATCAGAACTTGGTGCCTCGGCCCATGAGTTTGAGGACAGCAAAGTTGTAGGTGGCAGCAATCATGAAGGTGAGCTGTAGGGAACAGAGGAGAGAATATGAGTGAGAGTAAAAGAAGGAAGCTCTGCCTCCTCAAGTCCTTTTGGGAACAAGGAAGGGTAGATATAAAATCACAACCAAATAAAGGACGAAATGTGTGCTCTGCAAAGAGCAGTATATCCCAGGCTGTCTCTCCATTTACTTGACTAGAAATCCTCTCTGAGACATTGCCTTCCAATGGCTCAGGCCCAGAGAATCAATACAACAAGGACCTATTCCACATATATGCTCAGTCTAGCACTGAGTTTTTATCAGGGAAGTGAACAATACATGGGCTTCAACATGGTCGTCCACATGTCTGAGTGAACTGGAGTCATCGGACACTTGTTGTAGACACATAGCCACACCGTGCAGCACAGCCCTCTTCTGTTTAATACATCAATTTATTTTACAAGGTGAAAAGCAACACAGTTCTGTACAAAAGCCCAAGCTGTAAGGACTAGGAGTTCTGCGAGTTCATCCTTGTCCTGTCATCGGCTTATTGATTTCATATAAGCTGCTTCACTCTTCAGTGTCTTGGGTTTTTAATCTGCACACTGAGTGTACTACATTGTGTTGTAACATCTCAGTAGGATCTGGGACTTATGATTGCATTATTGTTGTCGTTGTTGTTGTTATATGCTGTCAAGTCGGCCCCAACTCATAGCCACCCCTCCTTGGGCTTCTGAGGTGGTATCTCTACAGAAGTAGATTGCCCCATCTTCCTTCTGAGGAGCGGCTGGTGGGTTTGAATCGCCAGCCTTCTGGTTAGCAGCCAAATGCCTTAGGCACTGTCACCAGAGCTCCCTTAAGTTAACAACAACAACAAAAAAAACACCCAAACTCACTGCTGTCAAGTTGATCCAACTCATAGTGACCCCTCCTTGGGTTTCTGAGCCAGTGTCACTACAGAAGTAGATTGCCCAATCTTCCTTCCGAGGAGTGGCTGGTGGGTTTGAACCACCAGCCTTCTGGT